TCGAATCGTATGCAGGTTTGGCGCATCAAGGCGAACTCTCATGCTGCGCTCTGGTCGTAGCCAGCACCGACGCAGTCATCACGAGTGGCTTGTGAGGGCATTGCAGCTGATGCTGTCCCTCTTCCAAAGCCCGATCACGTACGCTTGGCTCGGTCAGGTGCTCACTCGCCCACGCGGTCATGATGCGCTACCTCGCTCGCTGTCACGAAAGCATGGAAAGAAAGACTTTTTGATCGGAGACTGTCACCGCATCGACACACACGTGGGCAATTGCCTCTTGCTTTCCTTCCACATTCCCCCTTTCCAATCCGCAAAGGGTGTTCACTGCTTCCGCCCTGCCATACCCCGCTCACAGCATCCGCAGCGTCCTCTTCCTGGCTTTGAAAACAAAACTCCAAAACAGCTGGACTGTAGTCAGCGTGAGTCCAGCTCGCTAGAGTAATATTGGCGGGCAAGTAGACATCATCACTGAGCCTCGTCTCGTCGCTCTCCCTCTCCATCTATCTCCGACGCAGCATCGCCACAACATGGGCATGTTCAAAGGAAAAGCCGACGGGCTCGGCTCGAGTAGTCAGCCAGGCGACACTTCCCGACGCACCATGTATGCGCGCGATGCTTCCACAGCTCCTCCCGCACACCAGTATCAAAGCAGAGCGCCGCAAGCGATGCCACTGGGAAACGCCTCATTCAGCGTCGCTGGCTCATTGAGCAGCTTCCCTACAGCGAGCAAAAGTGCAGGTCTGCCAGCAAAGAAAGGCGCGCGGAGGATGTTTGCTGACAGCGAGTCTGAAGCTTCACGGACGCCAGGCTCTGTTGCCACCAGCTTCTCGATGGATAGTGGCTCGGATGCGCCAGAGGAGCAAGAAATTCCTTACATCGATCCTGCACAGCGCGCGGAAGAGGAGAGGATCTGGCATCAGAAGCAATATCAGTACGAGGAGGCCAAGAGAAAGGCTGCAGAGAAAGCACAAAAGGCACAAAAGGCTCAGTCTAGTCGCAAGACCTTCATGACACGCAACAACTCGAAATCCGACTTGGACGCGTTGCGCTCGCTCAACTCCACACCCCAAGTCCCTGCTCCCCCGCCTCCGTCCCTACAAACGACGAATTCGAGCTCGAACCTATCTACGCTCAGCAGTGGGACTCAAAGACCAAGTCTGTCGCAAGAGAGGGCGCCGAGCGAAAGTCGAGTCGCGCAATGGGCACGCGGAACGTACGGTGAGCGTCAGCCACCAAGCCGCCAGCAGACTCTCACGCAAAGCCAACAATGGTCTGGGGACGCACCTGGTGCGGGCAACGCAACTCATTGGCAAGGAGCAACGGGTCAGGAGTACGCTCGACAGGTGCGCGAGAGGTGGGATGACTACGAGTCTCGTCATCCACAGGTGGTACATCAGCAACACGCACAAGCGACCACTACTTCAAGTCGCTACACGGCCCCTGGACCAGGGTCTGACTCGCACCATCCTGGAGCTGACAGGTATCGCAACTACGCTCAGTTTCCGCGCGACTTGTCATCCCAAGCTCCATTTGGCGATGTAAGCAGAGATGTGCCGGAATCTGCTTCTTGGCATGGGCACGGAATTCCGCCCGGCCCCCCACGTTCCGGTCAGGTTCATGGAGGCTACTCTGAAGATCTGACTTCTCCAGCGCAGCTGCAACGCTACCCCTCGCATCACACGGTGGATGCATTGCCTGCCCGCAGCGCTTCCGCTTCCCTAGAGGACGCGCACCGTTTTGCAAGTGCTTCTCAGCATTATGGTGCGGGGCATTCGCAGCATCCGCCGGCGCTTCGCTCTGCATCATTCGATGCGACCGATGCTGCTAGCATGGTGCCAAATCCTCACATCCGCTCAGCGTCTGCGACACAGCTTCAGCATCCTGCCTCACTACTGGCCAATCGCCCGCAAGCTCAGGGCTCAGGCTCGGGCGCGCAGGTCTCCCGCATCAACACCAATGTCTACGATCACTCACATGCACGCATGGCCGTTCCGGCTTTTCAGGCACCCACTGCGCTCGTTGCCAGTCCAAATGGTAGCCTCAGTCCGAGCGCAGGCTCCAATTCCTCTGCACGCAATGCAGCGCTCCGCGCAGTGTATGGCTCAAGTCCTTCTCAAAGTCCGATTCCAGAGAGACCGAGCAGTGCAGCAAGTCACTGGTCGAACGGTTTGCCATCGGCCCTCCAAGCCGGTCGCGAGTCTCCTTCATGGCATTCCCGTCCGCGTCCGGCAATGGGAAGGGGTCTCGACGAATTTGGCAATCTGCGTCCCCCTCAACAGCAAGTGAGGTCAGAGACGCCAAGTAAAGAACCACTGCGCTCCGTCATGGACTCGCCCACGAGCGCTCGGGCTAGATCGCCCTCGATCGCCTCTCGCGCCGGCACACCAATGCAACAGCAGTCTTTACGCCACCAGTCTTCCATCAGCAGCCTCGACTCGATCGGCGAGATGAAGCCTCGTCGTGCGCCTGCACCCCCAACTCAGCAGACGCCAGCCGCAGCGCCTGCAGTGATGAAAGCGCCTGTTGCTCCTCGAGCTGAGCATGTGGCTGGTGGCGAGAGCAAGCCGAGCGGTGTGGCCACAGTCGCGTCTCCCGCTGCACTGCCTGTGACTTCCGAAACAAACGTGGCCAAGATTGATCGATCAGCCTCACGGCTCACTCGAATTGCTGGTCCAGATCGCACACTCGAATCTCGACGAGGGACCCGCAGCGCCACCAAGGACGGATCGAGCTTTACCGCTTCGACAAGCCGTTTGCCTTTGCCTCTCTTGGCTGGAATCTCCGATGCTCAAAGAAAGCAGGAAGAAGAGGAGAGCACGAAAAAGAATCGCGTATCTGACTCGAGCAGCAAAAGCGGCGCATCGGCAAACTCGAACGTTCGCTCGAGCCAGCCGACCAATCCTTTGCTTGGTATTCTTTCTGGGCCTGCATCAACATCCACGGAAGAGAAGCATGACAGGGAGCCAGGCAGCACAGGCACGTCGATCGCCGGCACAAAGAAGTTCTCGCCAATCGAAACACCAGCAGGAGGCTTCGCTCATGGGCGAGTCTCCAACGTAGACCACCGATCCAGCAAAGCGAAGGCCGTGCCGGAGTACAGCAAAGCGTCTCACAGCCGCAGACCATCTGAAGGGGACGAGCGAGCACCTGCTGTTCTTCGAGACGATGTCTTTGCGTCTAGTCAACCTGTCCCCCTCAAATCGGACCAGGGCCGCGTGCGTCAGCCGACGACAAGTTTCGGCAGCATTAGCAGTTTGAATCCTGTCGAGACTGCGCCTCCGCCATACGTTCCAGTACCCGAGAGTTCTCGCGCTGCTCTGCAAAAAGAGAAAAGCGGGCTGGATGGTAGCCAGGCACAGACAGTCTTCGCCAGTGCAGACACAGCTTCCAGCAGCAGCACTGGGACAGGCCAGCCTGGCAAAGCTAGGGCATCCATCTCTTCGCTTGCAGCTCCAGCAAGACCACCCCGTCGACAGGCTAGCTCTTCCACCATTGACTCCGACGCAAACCTAAAGGCTTCTAGAGACGCGTCAACCTTTGCGAAGGCTGCACCCCAAGCACCCATGCTCGACGAGCCGGGCAAGACAAGCTCTACTAGCTTCTCGACAGCAAAGCCAGAGCGCAAAGCACCTCCCACATCGATCAAGACCGGCGTCAAGCCGTGGCAGTCAGGACCAAAGTCTGCTAGTGGACCAAGCACGGTGCCAGCGGCACCACGATCCGCAGTGGTGCCGCCTAAAAGCGCTCGAGCACCACCAGTCGCTTTCCCCCAAACAGCCAAGCCTGCCCTAGCGAGTGAAAGCTCAGAAGGCGCAGCGTATGTTCGCGCCGAGCGCCATCCGAAACCGTCATTTCCTCCTGTGAAGACTCCGACCACTCGAAGACCGAGCTCTAGCGCATCTAGGACCTCGATTGCGGGTCCATTGCTTGCAGGCGCCGTGTCTGGTTTGAAGACGCCCCGCAACGTCCCTGAAACCGAGTCGAGGGGAAGTGGAGGGATCGATAGTCGAATGACCAGTGAAGCTTCGGATGCTGATGGTGCCTCCGCCGTCGATTCTGGGCCGGAAGAGGAGGAGGATGCACCTGTCTTGCCCGAGATCCCACGAGTGTCCGCCGCGCCGCCACGCCTGGATTTCAACCTCGAAACGTCGCTGGATACGGAGCTCAGCTCTGCCTGGGCTTTGCTCAGCGAAGCAGCTGCGACAGAAGAGGCTAGCGTCGAAAAGGATGAGCCAGATGAGCAGAAACCGCCTTTGGCGCCCGAGCCAGTAGTCTCAGTCTCGCCTGCAGCGATCACCCGAGCTTTCAGTCGATCGCGTCCGCCGACCGCCTCCTCGATTCCGTCCTCCACCAGCAGATTTGTGCCTACACATCGCCCAAGCCCTTCTCTCGACGCTAGCGCCCGATCCAAAGCGGGTGCGCTTCACGTAGACACCACGCCACTCGCCGCCTTCAAGCTGGGAGTGGCTACTCAGGGTCAACCGCAAGAAGTTCGAAGAGTGCTCAAGAACGGTCCAGCGCATGCTGAAAGCTCGTCGGCATACCTGAGCGCTCTGAACTCCGCTACTCCGCCCAGCACGGCGTCGCCTGCTCGGTTCGAGAGTGCACTTTCGAGTGACGCGGCAGAGGAGTCCGAAGCTGAGACGACGGCTGCTCGGTCTTCTTCGGCGAACGCTCGTAGTGGCAAGGTACATGCAGAGGCTGATGTCTCGAACACTCCAACATCGGCTCTGACAAACAGTCGCAGCCCACTTTCTGCTCTCTCGAGCAGCACACCAGGCTCGTCCGGATCCGAGTTGGAATCGCTCACTCCCTTCTTCGCAAAGTTCAACCGAGCGCACATGGCGCGCTCGGAATCCATGTCCAATGTGGAAAAGGTCTTGCCTAAAATTCCGCCGGCTGGAGAGATGAGCCCTCTCTTTGCCAGTCTGCGTAGTCCCACGGAAGCGTCTGCCGCGCTCGCCCGTGGATCGGGCCGCAGGAGCACGTCCATCAGCTCTCCAAACGAGGCGGTCAAGGGTGCTCTTCCCGCCGTCGCTCGACACAATCTTGTCCACCTTCCTGTCAGAAAGATGAGCTTGCGCAGCTAAACCAAACGCCCTTTGCGTCACCATCTTTACACGCTCTTTACGCTTCCCGCTAAACCCTCCAACTTTCCTGTGCTCGCGCGAAATTCTCTTTGTATACCCTTCAAGTTATCATGGCATCACCTGCGCTATGCCGTACTTCCGCGACAACATTCTTCCTCGATGATCTTGATCAATGCGACACGACTGTGACTTTGCCTGACCTGCATTGTGTCAGTCCGCCAAACGTTGAGATGCAACGAGAATGCTTGCATTCGAATGCTACAATATCCTGACTTTGCCCGACAAGACGAGGTGTCTGACTGCTCTCCATCTAAAGAGGTGGATCGATCCTTTTGCCATATTGGTAGATTCCTCATCCAATATCTTCAGCATTCCACAGTCCTTTAGACACCTGACAAAGACCGGAGCATCGGGATCCGGGACATCCACCATGCCCGATCTGCCGTCCGTATTTCCCGCCCCCGTTCCCGCACCCGTATCTTCCAGGCTGCGCATGTGGAGCGGCAAAGCGTCTAGCACGGTCGTCTGAAAGTGCGATGAGCGAAGCTGATGAAAAGTCTGGGCGTAATTTTGCTCGAGCGGAGAGAGTTGGGACATGGCGTGCGCCGAGGCGCTATTCTTCTGCACCAGGTACGCTGCAAGATGTTCGATCTGAGATTCGTGAGACCAGGAAGAGGAGAGAAGAGGTGCAGCGACGCTCAGCAGACTTGATCACATGTTGCTTGAGGAAGCTGCTGTCGTGTTCCGCTCACCTTGGCTATCCGACATCGCAAATAAGCTCTCAGCAACCATCTGGCCCGTTCGATGTCTAGAGCGACGATACCCAGACGAATGTGCTCCTCCTCCGATGTCGAGGTGTCGCCTGACAACGACTCGAGAATGGCCTAAAGTCGTTGATGACAGATTGCGCATCGTGAGCAAGAGTGGAGCTTGATATCGCATCGCGGTCTCCATGAACAATTTGAAGGCAGCGATAGTCGGCGCCGACATGCTAGCACGTCATCTGCTCCTCGCAGCGCCCGCATGACCCTCCCCTCATGTCCCATGCGACTCACTTCTTGCCCTTCGATCATGGCACAGACGCTATCCACCGTATCGCCGCTCCACTTCAAAACCTCTGGCGAGCCTCTCTGTGCGACCCAATCATCCTGCAGCTTCTCGATGGGCGACTTTCTCCTCCTTCTGCCCGCCCCACCACCTTGCTCATCCACCGCTCCATCCCAGTCCAGATCTTCTTCTTCCTCATCCTCGTCTTCTTCCTCTCCCATCCATTCACCATCCAGCTCCACGTCCGCTCTAGCAGTTCCAACATCCCCGGACATTTCTCGCCCGTCCGCTTTGGCCCTTCTGTTCCCTCGGCCGGGCGACAAGAAAGGATTGTCGGACCTGAACGCGTCTCTGTTCGCTCTGCTAGTCTGCGGGTCATTTGCCAGTGCATCTCTGCGATGCAAAGATTCCTCAAAGATCAAATCATCCCCCGGCTCTACTTGGCTCTGTGACGAGAGGCCCGAGGCATTGTGATCGTAGCTTTGGCCGTGGACATTTCGAGAGGTGGAAGCGTCTGCTGAGCCTGTTTCGCTGGATTGACTGAGAGGATGAAAAGACTGCATTGTGACTGAGCGAATGGATGCTTCTGAGATGCTTCTGAGTGGTGGAGGAAAGATGGATGGGAGCAAAGTCCACACCTTCCAAAGCTCACTTCGCTTTGACCTGAGCAAGATGTTGTGTGCATGCAAGTCACATAGTCGAGGAGCACGTTACGTGATGAGCATCGAGGCCAGCTTGTTCGCCTTGCATCGCATCGCCTCGCATCGCCTCGCCTCGCCTCACCCAACTCGGTG